ACAGCAAGAGAGGGAACACAAGCAGGGGGAGTGGGAGAGGGAGAAGCAGGCTCCCCGCTGATCAGGGAGCCTGATGTGGGGCTCGATCCCAAGACCCTGGGATCCTGACCTGAGCCGAAGGCAGACGCCTAACGAGTGAGGCACCCAGGCGCCCCTGTTTTATGGGAATATTTTTTGTGGTGAATTTTCCTTATACATAAGAGGACATTAGTATTCCTTTTCCTTTTCATTCTTGGAGCATCTTTGTATGGACACTATTTTTTTTATTCCTTTAACTGTTTTTTTTTTTTAAATATTCAAATTGGTTGAATTTTCCTGGATCAGCACTTAATAGGAGGTTTTGGTGGAAATTGGGAGAGAGGCCAGGGTAGTTCTCTCTGTTTCTCTGTTTTTATGGAAAAGGATTATTCCTTTAAAATACAACCTTTCTTGGGGTGCCTGGATGGCACAGTTGGTTAAGTGTCTGACTCTTGGTTTCAGGTCAGGTCCTGAGCTTGAGCCCTGTGTTGGGCTCTGGACTTAGCATGGAGTTGACTTGGGATTTTCTCTCCCTCTCCCTGCCCCTCCTGCTGTGCGTTTTCTTTATCTCTCTCTCAAATAAATAAATCTTTTAAAAAATAATAAAAAATAAAATAAAATATGACCCTTCTCTGGATCCACTGCCCTTTTGCCTCACAGAACTCAGCTGGCTTAAAGGGGCCACCTGCCTCTAAACTTGAACTCTCCTGGTTCATTCAGGCTACAGCTCACTCTCTGACTTACTCATCTTCCTTTTAGAAGCAGTGATTTCTGCAGTCTTCCACTTCTGGGCCCCTCTGCACCCTGTTCCTCCCCAGCTCACTGCTGTATCTGCTGGACTCAGGTGCTTTGGGCCTCACTTACATGTGAGTTGGGGTTTATGGGTTTCTCATGCCCCTAGTTTCACTAAAGCTGTAGCTTGTGGTTTATTTTCTCTTTCCCCTGTTGCTCTATATGACATCAGCAGAGGAGGAAAGATTCAGAACCAAGAATCTGCCCTATTCCTATTGGAAAAACAAGTCTCTAGCTCCCTTATTTTGTTGGTAATATCTCCCAAAGAGCAAGCCACTGCCTTCCTGGTTTCTGGCTTTAGAACATCTTACAGACTTTGGAGAAGAAACATTTTATAACCTCTGCTCTGAAAACATCCATTTTTACAAGGATCACCTTCTAGTAACTGTAACTCCTACTTCTTGAATAGAAATATTTATTTATTCCCTGAAAGATGGGAGGGGGTGCGGGGGCAGGACAGCAGACCCTTCAGGAAGGATTTTCAAGCTCTAGGTATTGATTCTTCCCACCAAGGAGGGTCTGAGTTCCTGATCCTGTTCTGTCTCCAGAAGTATCCCTGCTTTCAACTTGGTAGACTCTTCCCTCATCTCTGTCTCTCTTTTCGTGTGTGTGTGTGTGTGTGTGTGTGTGTGTGTGTGTGTGTGTGTGTTGGTTGGTTGACATGACAAGAAGTCCAGGATGGACCAGCTTCAGGCATAGCAGAATCCAGGTGTAAAGTTGATGTCATCATGCATCTCTTTCTCTCCATCTCTTGGTTTTGCTTGCCTCTGGGCCAGCTTCATTCTCAGGCAGGCTCTCCCCTCCTGGCTCCTGGCTCAATGTTAGCACCTCCCTTGGAAAGCACATGACCCTGCTTGGCTTGGATTTGGGGTACGTGCCCTCCCTGAGCTACTCACTGTGGCCAGGAGAACGTGGCACAGTCATTATTAGGCAGACTAGAATCGTGTGTGTACCCCAAGAACTAGAGTGGGGGGTCTGTGGGGCAGAGGTGGTTCCTCAAAGGAAATCAGGGTACTGTTATCAGAAGAAGGGGGAATGGATGCTGGGCAGGCAAAGCCAGCAGAGAGCCACCCCATCTCCACTGGTAAACCCCACTGCAAATGACATCTAACCATTTTCTCTTGCCATGCAGAGGCCCACCGAGGCACATTCTCCATGGAGCTGCCATTTCAGTGATATTCCAGGCAGTGTGTGTGACCCGAGGGTGGCTCTGAGATTTCAGGACGGGGGGACAAAGAAAGGGGGTGTTGTGGAATAAATGGTGGCCTCAAAGGAGATATGTCGTGTCCTACCCCCTGCAACATGTGACTGTGATCTCCTTTGGAAAAAGGGTCTTTGCAGGTGTTACTACATTAAGGGTCTTGAGATGAGGAAATGATCCTGGATTAGCCAGGTGTGGGCCATAGTCCAGTGACAAGTGTCCTTACAAGAGACAGAGGAGGAGAACACGCACAGAAGAAGGCCACATGAGCCCAGAGGCAGAGACTGGAGGAAGAGGCCACAAGCCCAGGAGGGCCTGGAGCCACCAGAAACTGGAAGGAGCAAGAAACGATTCTCCCCTAGAGCCCGAGAGGGAGTCAGGTCCTGCCAACACCCTGGTTTTAGACTTCTACTCTCCAGAGCTGTGAAAAAATAGGTGCCTCTTATGGTCATTGGTTTCAGTCGCTACAGGAAACCAATATGGGGAAGCTGATCAGAGTCGAGAGTCGGGTCCCTCTTCTGTTTCCTTGGTTTTGTGGTTTGCAACTTCTGCTGGGCTGTCTGCCTCCTGAAGCATCTCAAGGAAGACCTGGAGGTGGGGCACTCCTCGCATGGGGGCGGGGGCAGGAAGAGCTCCCTGAGGGCGTCAGCTCCAGCTTCCATGGCTGTGTGACCCTGGCCGAATCCCTTTCCCTCTCTGGGCCTCTGGGAGCCAGGCAGCACCAATCCCGGCAACAAGCGGTTCGGCATGGGCTGTGTCTGACCATCACCATGACTCTGCTCTGTTTGGCAGTCACAGTCCGCCAGCACCGGGCTGAGCTGGATGGACACAGGAGCCAAGGGAAGGTCAGAGGTGGAGTGCCCCTACTGTGGGCCATCAAGGAGTGACAGTCTTCGGGCAGAGGAGCCATTTCTAGGCACTTGGGCCCATACCGATGCTCCTGACGGCAGAGGGGGGCGGGGCCACAAAGTGGCGAGGGCCCAGCCAACGGGGGGTGGTCGGGCCTTTGGCCCTTTGACCCACCAGCTGTGTGCATCTCACCCTCACTTCCTGCCTGGGGGGGTGGGGGTCCTGAGGAGCTCCGAGGAGCTCAGAGCAGGGAAGTGGCCACAGTCAATAAGCTAACTGGAAACACCTCCCTGTTGCAGAGGGTGGGGGCAGTGGCAACATGCCAGCCACTGCTGACAAGGTCCAGGACTTGGGCCGCAGCTGCGAGGCCCATCCCGGGGGGCCAGGAGCATGCTTTGGACCTGAGGTCACACGGGTACTGGGCTGTGGCCAACTTGGCCCTGCGCACAGTTTCTATTCCTGGGTTTTGGGCTCCAGGACCAAATACGGCACTGCTTGGGACTGGCACTCTCCACTGGGGCAGGCGCGGGCTCAGGTGGCACATCCTGCCACCCCAACAGGCCCAGACCCCACCCCATCCCACGGAAGAGCCAGATCATCCCAACACTGTGGGGGCCCCTGGGCGGCTGGGACCTCGATCTGTCCAACTCTCTGTCCACTCCTCAGTGTGGTTCACATTGGGTTAAAAATACCCAGGACCAAAATAGCCTCTCCTTGCAGGGGAAAACCAGGGCAGGGGAACACAAGGTTCTTGATTTCTATTGGCTCTGCCGCTCACGACCCAGCTGGGGGATCCCAGGCTGCTCACCTGACCTCTGGCCCCGATGCTCATGGCTCCTTCGGTCACTCGCCGATTTGCTAACTCACTGACTTGCCCACTCTTTAATTCGCTCCTTCGTTAATCCACTCGCTAATCATTCATCGATTCGCGCGCTCATCGATTCGCTCCTTCATTGACTCGTTTGCTCCTTCACTTACTCACCCACACGCTGAGTCACTCGCTCACTCGATATTCACTGACTGCACACCCAGCGCCATCTATTTAGATGCTGAGCAAAACACAAAAAATACCCATCTTCGTGGAGTGATGTTCCACATAAATAACCCGCACAAATGAGTACAAGATGTCCTGTATGCTAGATGAAGCACCGGGGACAGTGAACTCCACAGGAGGCCATGAAGTGACGGGAGGTGGGACTTTCGGGGCTGGGAGGCCCCCCAGGAAGATGATTTCCGAGTGAGGACCAGAGGGAGGTGAGGGAGGGAGCCAGGTGAACAGCTGTGGGAAGAGCGTTCCAAGCAGAGGGAACAGCATACACACAGGACCCGGGAAGGCAATATGGGGGGGGGGGGGGGGGGGACGGGTTTGAGAAAGAGCGAGCCGGCGGGGCGTGGTTGGGTAGAGCAGATGATGAGGAGAGACGCGGGCTGTGAGGCCAGGGGTGGGGGACACACGCAGGGCCTAGTGAACCTGGGCCTCCCACATCACTGAGGGTCTCACAGACAAGTGACATGTCCTGGCTTGTGTCTTCGGGGTGTCCCTCTGGCCGCCGGGGGAGTGGGTCCGTGAGGGAGCAGATCAGGGAGAGGGCGAGTCAGTTTGTGTGGGCCCACTGTGTGCCAGGCACTGAGCTGGGCTCCGGCAGGGGGAAGGTGCGCAGGCCCGCGTGGTGCTTACAGCGGCCCGTCTGGCTAAGGCCCTCCGTCAGTGTCAGCTGGCCAGGAAGCCACCTTCACCTGGCTCTGTTGGACCCTTTGCCCCGTTTCAGCTGTCACCAGCGTCGTCCTTGTCTGTTTCCAGATGGTTCCCCCCCACGCGCTGAGAGCTCCCCCAGGGCAGAGCTGCAGCCTAGCTCTTCTCTTCTCCCAAGCACCCTCCCTGTGGGGCCGAGAGAGCCAGTGAATCGGTGAACAGGTGACCCTGTGTGGCTGGGGGACGAGGCCTCCGTGAGCCCGCCACCCTCCTCACTCTGTGTCTCCCCGTGTTTTGCAGATGGATTTGTGGGTGCGGAGAGTGTGTGGAAGGGCCGTGTTCCTGTTGGCAGAGAAGTCTGGCTGCTGAGCCAGGGCGTGTCTCCCAGAGGGCTGCCGGGCTGCCGGACCCCCACCTCGCCGCCATGGGCCGCCCAGGCTGGTCAGTTACCAGCCAGTGACGTCAGCGCGGTTCCCAGCCCTCCACTGGGAGGGCACGCCAAAGTCTCGAGTCCCAGCCTCCTGGCACCACTCTCAGGCCGTGAGACCTGTCTGTCCTGGGGAGCGGTTGACTCCGGCCCCCGTTAGCCCCCAGGCTGCGCGGTCCCTCCACCCCACTGTGTGTCCACATTCCCTGGCCTCTAAAGTAGAAATGATCCAACCACCCCTGGGGTTACGGAGAGCCAGAGGGGGTGTGCATGGGGGCACCGAGAATTTAGAAGACGCTGAGTAAACGCTGGCTGGGATTCTGTGACTAGTGAGAACAGACAGGTGAATGTGCACCGAGTCCCCAAAGTGCCAGGCACGTTCCCACATCCCCTGCACCGTTTCTGTCCCAGGCAGGATGGTACAGTGTTGAGAGAGTAGACTCTGGAGCCAGGTGGCCTGGCTTCAAGCCCGCACCCCGCCACTTGCCTGCCACGGGACCGTGTGTGAGTTACCAGACTTCTTGGTGCCTCGAGGTCCTCACCTGTGAGATGGGGGTGATGATCACCACTGCACAGGGCGGCCGTGGGGGTTCAGCGAGTTAAATGTGTATGACGTCCCAGTCAGGCCACCTGGCACATGTGTGGTGATGGTCAACCCTTTAGTGGGTTCCAGTGTTCTTGCCCTGGAGGTGTGAGCTGAGTGAGTTGCCCCAGGTCTTAGCTGGTTCAGGCAGACTTGAGGTCCCATGTCTCCCAGGTGCTCCCATAGCCCTGCCCTTGGGGACAGAGCCCAAGCCTATTTCCTCTCCCCAGCCACCTGCCGGGCCCCCAGGATGTTCTTGGTTGCTGGCCAGGTGGACATCACCAGGAGAAGGTGAGGGTCGAAGGAAAATAGTCCTAGGCTCCAGACCTGTGTCTATAAGAAGCACGGTCCAGGGCAGGGGCTGGGGAAGCCAGCCGCCCAGGAGAGAGACTCCATTGTGTCTGAGACAAGGGCTTTAGGACCCAGCATGCATCCCCATGTGCCTGGAGCCCACTCACCCTGCAGGCTTGCCTGCCAGGCCCTTAGCACGCCAGTGCCCAGGCCTGCCCAAGCCCCAGGCTTTTCTGCTGAAAGGTCCCAAGGCTACTTGGCAGTCTGCCCTCTTGGAGCAGCTCCAGGCCTGGCACAACTGTGGAACTGAATGGGGCTAAGGGGTCCGTGGGCTAGGCCTCGAATCACGGGCTGCCAGTGGCCTGAGGGGCCCAGGTGTCACGGGACAGAGAGGCCCGTGGGCCACGTGGTAGAGGCATCACTTCTGACAACCTCGCTTGTGCCAGACCCTGGCCTGGGCCCGCGATGGCCATATGTGGCAGGTAGCACTGGCTCAGGTGTCGGGAAGCGCCCAGGTGTGTCACAGAGAGCAAAAGGAACTCTGCCCAGACCGTGGCCCCTGGCCTGCCGTTGCCCTTTTGCAGGTGAGGAAGGAGGTGGGACTCAGAGCCAGCAGACCCGTGGGCTTTTGGAAGCCCGCATTGGCCGTAGCTGGTGCTTGTGGGAAGTGTTTTTCAGGCCAGAGATACCAGCAGTCTGCCCGAATGTGATGCTCGTCTCTTGCAGACCAGCCAGTTCGTGCTGTGGCCTCCTGGTGTCATCTGGGGAGAACATGTCCAGGCCCCCTGAGTGCCTGCTGCGGCTGCGCCGGGGAGCCCCGAGGCAGCGCATCTGCACCCTGTTCATCATCAGCTTCAAGTTCACGTTTTTCGTCTCCATCATGATCTACTGGCACATTGCGGGAGAGCCCAGGGGCCAAAGAGAGTTCTCTAACTTGCCTGCCGACGTCCCCTGCCCCCGACTGGGGTCCCCTACGCTGCTTTCCAGCACCCCGCCTCCAGGCAACATCTTCTTCCTGGAGACATCAGACCGGACCAACCCCAACTTCCTATTCATGTGCTCGGTGGAGTCGGCCGCCAGGGCCCACCCGGAGTCCCGGGTGGTGGTCCTGATGAAGGGGCTGCCCGGCGGGAACGCCTCCCTGCCTCGGCACCTGGGCCTCTCGCTCCTGGGCTGCTTCCCCAACGTCCACCTGCTCCCGCTTGACCTGGACGAGCTGTTCCGGGACACGCCACTGGCGGCCTGGTACGCGGCCCGGCAGCGCCGCTGGGAGCCCTACCTGCTGCCCGTGCTCTCCGACGCCTCCCGGATCGCGCTCCTGTGGAAGTTTGGTGGCATCTACCTGGACACGGACTTCATCGTCCTCAAGAACCTGCAGAATCTGACCAACACGCTGGGCACTCAGTCCCGCTATGTCCTCAACGGTGCCTTCCTGGCCTTCGAGCGCCACCACGAGTTCATGGCGCTGTGCATGCACGACTTCGTGGCCCACTACAACGGCTGGATCTGGGGCCACCAGGGCCCGCAGCTGCTCACGCGGGTCTTCAAGAAGTGGTGCTCCATCCGCAGCCTGGACGAGAGTCACGCCTGCCGCGGCGTCACCGCCCTGCCCTGCGAGGCCTTCTACCCTATCCCCTGGCAGGACTGGAAGAAGTACTTCCAGGAGGTCAGCCCCGAGGAGCTGCACCGGCTGCTCAAGGCCACCTACGCTGTCCACGTGTGGAACAAGAAGAGCCAGGGCACGCGCCTTGAAGCCACGTCCCGGGCGCTGCTGGCCCAGCTCCATGCCCGCTACTGCCCCACGACGCATGAGGCCATGAAGATGTACTTGTGAGGGGCCCGCTGGGCCACCCTCCCTGCACCACCAGGCGCCCTGACGGAGAAGGGCTCCTGGCCACCTTTCCTGGTGGGGGCGAGACGGGAGGGCCCGGGAGAGGGAGGCTGGAGTTGCCGCAGCCTAGGATTCGGGCAGGCTCGGGGGAGGGTGGGGAGCTGTTGGTCCCAGAGGTGTGCCTGGAGGATGCGCTGCAGGCCCCCGGATCCGCTCCCTTCAGGGTGAGGCTGGTGGGACACCCCCGGGCCAGTGTGCTTTCTCAGGGTGAAGGCAACAAGTGGGGGGGTTGGGGGGCCCCAGCCAGAATCGGCTGGAGTAAGCCAGGGGAGCCTCTGGGTCTTCTGGACAACACACCAGAGCCGTGCACGTCAAAGCGGCTTCCGGGATGTCACAGGGAGGCCAGGCTGGTGGGGGCCCGAGGTGCCCACAAAGAGAACATGGATGGAGAAGCCCCAGAACAGGGGTAGGAAGGAGAGGGGAGCTCCTGAGGAAAGGGGGGAGGCAGCAGGGGTGCACACCCAGCCTCGTGAGCCTGGGTTGGGGGGGCAGAGTGCTTTGCTCTTCTCTGCCTTTGGTTTCTTCTTCGGAGGAGCCGGCCTGGGGAGCCCTTTGGGGGAGGCTTGCCTGCTCACCCCATTCTCTCTCCTTTCCAGAGATGTTGCAGGGGTGCCATGCGCCAGCCGGCCACTCCAGGGCATGGCAGCATGGAGTTCTTTTGGCTCAGGAAAAGCATTTTAAGAAAACCACCCCCCACGCTGCCCACAATAAACACGGGATAATAAACATAATAAAAACAACTCCCTGACACCAAGTGCTTGGTGGTTGATAAAAGGAATCCACTCCCACAAGCCCGCATTAGTCCCATTCTGGAGACAGGGAAGCAGCTGGGGGGCCGTGTCCTGACATGCTTGAGGTCACTCAGCCCTGCCCGGAGAGCAGTCCAGGGACCCGGGGGGTGGGGGTGGGTTGGGGGGCCCAGCCGGACACCCCAGGAGCCCATTACCAGAGTAGGGGCATGCTGCCCCCAGGCCTAGAGGGGTAGGTGTCAGGGTCTGTGGGGTCCCTCCTGGCCCAGATCCTGGGAGAGACCGGAAGTGCCTTCCAGGCAGCCGCAGGGCTGGGTAGGAGGAAAATGCTCTCTGCCAGGTGTGGCCCCGGCTGGTTCGTGCTGAGGAAGCCCTCTCTGGGAGCTGGGCATTCTAGCCAGGCTGGAGAAGCACTTCCCTGAGGGACCAGGGGTGCTGCCAGGCACTCTGGGAGTCGGCAGGCTGCTCTTTGGCAGCCGAGGGGGAGATGTTCAGAGACCTCTGGATTCTGACCTTCTTGGGCAGCCTAGTTAGGAAGTGAGCTCCCCGGCTCTAGGGGTATTCAAGAACAGGTGATACTTTGATGACAGCAATGGATTCCATGTCAGTTATTTCTCCAACCACAACATCATTCACGCTTTTTAAAAAAATATTTATTTGAGAGAGGTTGTGAATGAGAGAGAGAGAGAGCGCACGGGCCGGGGGGAGGGGCCGAGGGAGAGGGAGAAGCAGGCTTCTCGCGGAGCAGGGAGCCCAACCCAGGCCTCCATCCCAGGACGCTGGGATCATGACCTGAGCCGAAGGCAGATGCTTAACCGACTTTGCCACCCAGGCGCCCTAACCATATATACTTAAGCAAGTAAGACAGATGCCCTCATAGGTTCAAGCCTTGTGTAATCGGTCACTTGGCCATGGCATGTGAGTGCCTACTAGGCACGAGCGTGCAGAGAGGACAGTGTCACCCGCTCGCCCTCAGCGCCGCTATGGTTCCCCATTGCCTGACTCGGGCTGGATTACAGGTCCGCCATGGTCCTGCCCTCTCCAGCCTTGGGCATTGCCCTCCACTCACGCTTAACTGCATAATTTTTTTTTCTTCCCCGGAGAGAGAGAGCCTGTACTTGCTTGGGGGCAGGCGGGGGGGTGCAGAGAGAGAATCTTAAGAATCTGAAGCAGACTCCATGCCCAGAGCAGAGCCTGACGCAGGGCTCAACCTCACGACCCTGAGATCATGACCTGAACCAAAACCAAGAGTTGGATGCTTCCCCAACTGAGCCACCCAGGCGCCTCTAAACTGCACATTCTTGACTCTTCTCCCTCTGCTAATGGCCACAAGTTGATACTCGTACACTGCTGTGCAATGCCCTTCCCAGCCATCTTCACCAACAGACTCCTGTTCCTTCCCATAAGGCTGACGTCCCCTCCCGGAAGCCTTCTCTGACTGCCCTTCCTCCAGCCCCACAGCTCCCAAGCATCTTGCTTGACTGTTGGGTTCTTGGCCTGTTCCCCCAAAGATCTTGTGGGGAGAGCCATGGCAAAGCCTTCTCAGGGCTATTCCTGGGTTTGGTCTCAGGCTCCCAGCGGGGCACATCCATGTCACTTTGGGGGGGGGGGGGGACTTCAAGGAGTTCCCAGCAGTCCATGCAGAGCTGAGGGACCAACTCTGGGAGCATCAGAAAGATCGCTGGGCCCTTGGCCACCCCTGACACCTTCTAACCCAGGGGCCCTGGCCAGGCTGGAGTAGCTGAAGCCCGTTCTGTCAGAATACAGCTTGGCCAAATGTTTACAGACCTTCTCAGAGGACCTCATTCTGGAAATGGGGCCCAGAAGGGAGCCTTGGCCCCAGACGCTCCTCACATCATGCCAGTCGGGGCCAAGAATGGGAAAAGTCTCAGATGTTCCTGGCATCCTTTCTCTGAGGAAGTGGGCAGGCAGGGGAACGTAGTGGGGCACAGAGGTGACTTTTCCTCTCTCATGTTCCACGAAGGACCCTCCATCCATCAACCTGACAGTTGGGAGGGGGAGGGCTGAGCCTCGCTGAGCCTGCCCCAAACCCAGCCTCTTAATGCAGCAGATAGAAACCAGTTAGGATCCCCCTGGCCGGAAATAATGGCAGCATCCTGGAGAAGAGAAGCTGAGGGGATGGGTGTGGGCCGGCAGAGGGAAGGTGGAAAGGCTGATTCATCTCCCAGCTCTGAGGCCACAAGGTGCCACCCTCACCACCCAGCCCTGCGGACCCCAGCCTCTGTCCATCCTGGTGGAGTGTTCTTGGCCCTCTTTTGGTCTGGGAGGAATCGTCCCAATGCCCAGGACAGAGCAGGGGAGCGTGAGGATCCCCCTTGCTGCCTCCTGGCCTCTGTGCCCTGGCCAGGACCGTGCCTTGTTGCCTCTTGTGCAGAAATGGATGGGACCAGCCTCCTCACGTGGTTGTGGCGATTGAATGGGCGAGCAGGGCACCTGGCACGGAGTACAGTATATATAACACCCCCCCAAATGCTATGTGGGGAAACTGAGGCTTAGCCAGTAACGGCCAGCACTGAGATTAGAACCCAGCCCTGGGCGGTCCTGAGGCCTGAGCTCCAGGCAGGAAGGAGGCAGGCTCCAGGAGCTGGAGAGGGTTCTTCCCTTTCTTTGAGAGGGTTTTTCCTGACCTCCCTGTGCAACATCCACAGACCAGAGCACCATCCCCCCACCCCACCCCACCCACACACCCCTTCCCGGTTCCTCTGCCTCTCCCCCATTCCGTTGAGACCCTGTGCTTGGTGCTGTCCCATCCCAAGCTCGCAGTTGCCTGATGCCCTGGCAACCTTGGGCTGCCCCCCTTCATGGTAGGAGCCGGAACATTTGCCAGGCAACTGAGTTCTCCAGTTCTCGGAAAAGAGAAAGGAAGGGCCGGCTCTGTGGAAACCTGCCCTGGGGACAGTAATCAGATCCTAGGAACCCTGTGGTTTGTTTCTGGCGGCTGCGTTTGCAGATGTTTTTGTCTGGGAGTTGGGGAAGAAGATGAGGGCCCATCCCTTCATGGGGGTTCAGCAAGCGGCCCAGCAGGGCCTGAGGCAGGTGTGTTGTCAATAACTGAATGAACCTTCCCAGCTGACCAAGCACAGGCAAGGAGGGCGGTAGCCTGCCCAGCAGTGCTGGGGTGAGGGGATGATCTCCTCTGCCTCTGTATCAATACCCAGCTTCTTGTTCAACTATTACATTGGAATGTCCTCCATCTGAGTGCCTAACAGAGACAAAGGATGAGTGAGTAACTAAGAAGTGTGTTCCTGGAAGTCTGGCTTCAAGGTTCACTTGTTCCTAAATCTCTGCTAGTCCTGATAGGGGCAGCCCAGTGCAAGGCACGCTGGGAATTCAGCTGTGAGCTCCGGGCTTGAGACGACACAGCTTTCGGGACCTGACAACCGGCAGTGGACTCAAGGGTGATCTGGGCTATGGGGGAGGGAACACCCGCTTTCCTGGGCAAGGGGCCATAGTAGGAGGGAACCAAGGTGGTGGGTGAGACTGGACTGTGGGGGGGAGGTCCCCAAACAGGAAAACATTCGTCACAGCCGTGGTCCACCACCAACACAAATCAGAACCCAGCCCCCAGCCCCACCAAGTTCCAAGGAGAGAAACAAGATCTGAGAGGGAGCCTCTGGCTGCTAGAAACAACGCAGGGTGATTGAAACCACAAAGGCATTTAGCGTCCACACGATGTATCGGTTAAGGTACCCAGGGAGCTGCTGTAATGAAAAGACTCCAAAAGAGAGTTGCCTAAAGAAGGCAGAAGTTTGTTCCTCTCTCACGTCACAGCCCCCAGGTGAGTACTCCGAGGCCCATGGGGCTGCTCTGCCATCCCCAAGATGGGGCATCTAAAAGGCTCCAGCTGCTGCCATTTTCCAACTAGTGGGAAGGGGGGGAGAGAGTGCCCAGGGCAACCTGCTTTAATCCAGAAGTTTGCATACACTCCTGCTCACATCCCATTGGCCTAGACTTAAATCACTTGGCCACACCCAGCTGCCAAAGCTGGTCTGAAGCTGAGGGTCAAGCAGCCCGCTAAAACTCATCCTGTTCTATTCCTAAACAGATGGCAGGAAAAATGGACCCAAGAGAACAGTTAGCAGCGTCTGTCACATAACCAGGAGTCTGGTGATAGAGTGCCTCCAGGGTTGGTTAAGTCAGTAGCTCATCGACATCTTCATATCTTCAAGGATCTCATGAGTTGATTTTTGGTCTGAAGTTCGTCCCCTCGGGGCTTCAAGATTGTTGCCACTGCTCCAGGCATCATACCCTCATGCACTAATCAAAAAGGCAGAGTAGAGAATGTTCCTCCCTTGTGTCTGGGAAAACTTTCTCAGAAGCCCCCTTCTCCAGCTGACTTCCCCAACTTTCATTGGCCAAATAAGTAGCATATGCCCATTCCTACCCCGATTACTAGCAAAGGGGGTCCAAATGCTCAGGGCAGAGCAGGGAAGCCCAAGGATCTGTCTTCCCTGCCTCCTGGCCTCTGTGCCCTGGCCCAGGTTATGCCTTGTTGCCTCTTTTGAAGAAATGGATGGGACCAAGGACTGGCTTAGACCAATTGAGATTTATCCCCAAGGTCTGGGAAGGGTGCCCCACTTCCTTCCCAATACAGGGCCACCTGAGGGCGGAACAAAATCAGGGTTCCCTTAGCAAGAAAGAAGAGGGGGAGGTATGTCTGTGGGTAAGGAGCCTCCACGGGAACCGTACTTCCTGCCCACCTGCTCTGCCCTAAGCCCCACAGTAGACACTTTCCTGCACCCGATTTCATTCACCTCACTCCTGTGAGGAGGACACCAGCTGTGATTTATATATGAGGGGTGGAGACTCAGAGAGGTTAGGGGACCTGCCTCAGGCCACACAGCCAATATGTGGCAGAGCTCAGTTCCAGCCCCAATGGGCGGATGAGCAGAACGGTAGCTCAGAGGAGACGTGAACGTGTAGGACTCTAGAGCCAGGCCCCTCCCACCGCAGGATGGCCCAGCAGAAGT